TTTTTTCGTGGTTTTTGTATTAGACCCGTCGTCCATTTATTTATAAGAGGGTGTGGTGCATAAATTTATATCAAGGCATAATTCGGAGCTGTCACAATTTGACAATCTTTTGCCCTTTTCTAACTAAAAACAAAAGAGACGGATGCACTAAATTTAATTAGGTTGTAGTATGCGTTTAACCGAATCGACGCAATCTGTCATCGCTAACTTCCGTATCCGACATTTTTATTGTAACTGTGTACAATGTTACTCAGGTTTTTAAATCATGTTTATAGAATGAGACTGATACAGAGTTAAATGGTAATGACGACTGATATATAGAACAAGATAAAGGTGCCTTCAAATTAGACGCTTATAGAAGCATCTAGAAGCGCAGCACTTTTGCAAGTAGTCAATTAGTGAAGTAAAATGTACGCGCGGCTGCTGCGCCCTAGACGCGCCACTACAAGCTTCTAATTTGAAAGCGCCCTAAGGGCTAGCGCAAACCTGCGTACGGCGGGGGAGAGCATCGAAGAGTATCTTATACCCGCCAGCGCACACTGATAAGGAACTTCCCGTACGATACCGCGAGCGTTCGCCGGTGTACCGCAGCTACCGCTCCCTCCCGTTTGCCTCACATAACCACCAAAAGACTCCCGTCTCAGAGCATTGAAATCTAAACCTTATTGCAATTGTAATAGCATAAAATATACTTTGATAATTTTAATATTCTCTGCTTTCCGGCCCGATTTACGTTGGCTCTAAGATTGCATTTAATTTATTTTGAACAACACTGGTAATAATTCGCCACGGTATGCCTGTCCTCACCTGTACATACGTATACTATATTTTTCCCAGACGGAGAATAACGTTGCCAGGGTTGCCATTTCGTAAAATGTTTAAATAGTCATCCCATTGTTGTCGACAGTTTCATCGATAATACAAAACCCTTGAATAGTGAATGTTATGGCTTCATAATGATAAATAACTAGCACGTTTTCTTTTTATTTTGTCAGTCGCTCCACGGGTATTGAAGTCAATACGTGAAATACAAAGACACGGTCATGTTCTTCCTAGATGAAGTCTATTTTTAATGTAGGTTTACGTTTTACGAATCTTAATTTGTAATCATATAAGTATAATAATGATCTACAGCGATACTTTAAAGCGAGGCATGAAACACGTTCAGTGAATTATTGTGTAAGGTTATTCAATATTTAGTCGACTACCGATAGAATATTAATCGACTGCAATCACTAACATTTTGCAAGGAACGATCACAATTATCACAAAGGCTTAAAAGCTTTTTCTACCCGTCTTAATGCGATTCCGTGATTTAAGCTGGCAACCCTTTTGCGCACTGAACTGTCATTCTAATAAGTCTTGGAAAAAAATTGTATGGCTGCTGTTGTATAGGACAAACACATATCTGAATACAGCTATAACTACGCCTATGGGACAATCGTTAGTATAAGACCGATTACCCGTTGTAATGTTGTATGGAAAAATCGTTATGTAGCACCTCTGGTGAAACAAACTGAGAATGATACCACACAGGCGGCGCCGGTGCGTTGCCTCGTTGCAACGCTACGATTTCAATACACCGAGTGCCACATGAGCATTGCTGTGTTGCAACGCAAGGGAGATGCCACACGGGCGTTGCGTCGTCGCGCGCTGTCTCAACGCACCGTCTGGCATGTCGTTCTGATTTACATGTAGTACAACGCAGTTGTAACGACGCAAAGCCCACGCAACACACGTGTGGCGTCTCCCTCACGTCACTTGCGGGGTGCCCCATTTCGTCTTCTGGTCCCTTGTTCGATGCGCACCATGTGGCAGGTACTTCTAATTTACATCTAGTACCAACGCAGCGTCACCGCTCATTGCTCTTAGAGCGATGCCACACGATGCGTTGCGACATATTGAGTTGTTACGCTGCTTTGTACTACTTATATAACTATGTTGAAATCATAGCGTTGTGAGGACGCAACTGCAAAAAATTGTGATGCAAAACCATTTTAAAAATATAATTTATACGAAAAAAACATAAACATAATTCATTCATTTCTTATTGAAAAACATTAAGAGCTCCTCAATGTACTCAGTAGCCTTAAACACAAAAGTTTAAACTCGTTTTCTGTGATTTTATGAATGTAAGTCAAGTTACTGTTCCATCTTAGGTGCGATGTTTAATACAAGGATAATTTTAATTGCATTCTAGTGAAAGTTTTCAATTATTCACATTTACGTAGCACGAGATTCAATTTAGTTTATATTATTCCGAAAACTACTTTGTTCGAATTGGCTTTTTTATTTAACGCCAGCAATGTACAATATACGAATTTTTCCATAAAATACATATATACCAAACTTACATTAACTAGCTACATACTATCCTATTTACTAAAGTGAACATAAGACCGTTTTCTGAATCAATCAGAAGAAAGACAAAAATAAATAACTATAGTAAGTTACCTTTATTCCATCCAGCACTGGTCATAATTGAACAAAATCAGCGTTAAAAATGTTCGACTGAACAGTTTAAAGCATAGGTTCTCAAACGTTTTGGCAACTTAGGCAAGATAAAAAATTTAACCGCTCACCACCACAAAAAATCACAAGGAAAAAAATCATTATTTGTATTGTGGTTTGTATGCATAGATAATTCAGATTTCTTTTTCAAAGGCGCTAACACCCATTGGATGGCATCAATGCCCCTCAATGCTTCCGAGACCCCTTCGGCCTCCATAGGATTCTTCAGCGCCACTTTGGGAAACTATGGACGACGATTGGAATTGTTCAAATAGAACTGATGAATAAAACTGGCTGGAATAAAGGAATTATTGCAGGCAGAATTCAACAGCCGCGAAAATAAAAAAAATAGCGTTATGAGATTTGTGAGTTGGATTTTCTCATTGGATTGATAACTCCAGTGTGACCGTATAATCTGATCCGTGTTCAAGGCCAATTATCCATCAAAACGGAGGGGAGAAGAGCTGTTTCAATAACCAATAGTATTTAGTTTTTTTCACATATGTAACGCCACTTCCGTGTTGAAATAAAGAGCAATTTTTTGCAACAAAACTGTCCATAGCATAATTTATTAACTTTATGTGAATTGTATAACGTGCAAATTAGATACGATAGCCACGGAAATTCCCGATACTGCGCGAAAATTCTCCGTAAGCTTTTTAGCTCGTATCTATTTTATACTTTACGTAGTTGACATAAAGTTGATAATGAAAAACAGCTCCCCTCTGCTGCTTTGATATGATAGATAATGTGCCTTACACTAGGTAAATACGATCACACGATGTAGTGTTCATTAGATTGTGCTACACACATTACAAATGAACTGAATGCGATTGCACGCATAAACAAAAGAGATTATAAGTAAGAAATAATAGGAATCAAAAGGTGGGCAAGTGACAAAAAATGTAATACAGTTTGTTACATTAATCTATATAATATAAATTAATATTATATAAAAAAATAAACTTACTAAAGGATATTTTTAAGCAAATTGGAATTTTACATAGTCAATATAACGAGCCAGACTCTATCAGTAACACCAACCAACTACTGCTAACGTTTGACCCGCCTATTTTTCCAGACAATGTGCAGTTACATGTCTATAGTCGACATGGAAATTAAAAAAAACAGCAATTAAGTAGTTCTGAATTCAAATTATTATAGATGATAAATTTAATACTGTAGGAAAATTGTATTCGGGTGCATTCGGAAATTCGAAGACTGCCGAGAAATATTAAGGAAATAGTATTTGAAATTAATGTCGACATTACTGACGTCATCCGGCCGCCTATTATTATTAACTAATGAGTTAAACAAAATAATGTAGTTAATTTTATAATATAGAGTTGTAGAATTTCAGAAGCATACCAAGATTACATTGCGGTCGAAAGCCGAATGAAAAGACAGTCGATGAGCCTATACAATCTTTAGTGGGTAGGTCCCTTTTGTTGTACAGAACATGACGTCATCGGTCGAAATAAGACAATTTTTGGCTTATTTGTTCGAAAGTACATCTAATAACTTTCTTCTCAATTTTTCATAGCCCCGAAAGTAATTTTGAGAGGAAAATGTATTTTTTTTAAACCTAACTTAACCTCACCTAACCGAACCTAATTATGCCTTGCGATAAACATCTAACATATCCTGAAAGAACAACGGTTTCGTTATAATTCTGTTTACGGTGTAATGAAAATTCGAACAAACGTTACTTCGGAAAAAAAAATTCCAGTTTGTGACAGGTTACCCTCTGTACATCCTGCCCGATAAATTCCGCCCTGTTAATATAACATAATTGTTAATTAACCTTAATTAACCCTAATTGGATCTTAACTCAAAATAAGAGCAACCGCTAAGAAGTCCTTGAAATGTGGGTTTACAGAATAATTTTAAAAATATCGTGGACGGATAGTGTCCTATGAAAGATTATTGCAGATGGTGAATAAGAAATTAGAGGTCTAGAGTACGGGGAATGCAACCACCTGGAAGAAAGCGTACTTCGTGGCTTAAGAATCTCGGGAGATGGTTCAACCTGAGCACAAGATCCTTGTTCCGTGCAGCTGTGTCTAAAATACAGATAGACCTCCGGTAAGAGAAGGCACCTCAAACAGAATTGTTAACTCCTCTTAATTATATCCCGCTCCCCCGTTTGTTTCTGTAATACTTTGTTGTCTGTGGTAGATTCTCTTCTCAGTAAAATCTGTCATTGAAATCATGGGTCAAGTTGTGAATAATAAACGCGTGTCTGCCTTATCGATGGAGCTATAACAATTTAAAAAGAAGTTTCATGACGTAATGAGAAATAGGCTCACCTGCAATGCTAATATCGCACGTTGAAATTGATGCCGTTACTAGACGAAATTATGACAGCATTACTTCATTTGAAACCAAATACTGTTGTAACCATTGACTTACAATTATATGGACGTCGGGTCCGCGCTAAAAAGTGTCCGCACTTGTAAGACGCTAAAATCGTATACAGAGCGCGACACTCCGCTTTAGTCTTCATTTGTTCTACGGACAGCGCGATACTGCGATGACATAACAATTTAAATTTCGTATAGGTTGACTTGGGACATTTTTTTCGTGGTTTTTGTATTGGACCCGTCGTCCATTTATTTGTAAGTCAATGGTTGTAACTCAAAAATTTGTGGAATTGAGAAAACAGGATTCGAACGTTCAAAAATACTGAATGGATATGATTGCGAATAATATCCTGTTAAGCGCGATCCCGCATTCGCGATTTCGTTAGCGTCACGCGAAACCATTCATTTGATCGCAACGCGATGTTTAAATACCTTAAACCAACCACAAGAAACTGAACTGGCAGTTCAGAATGTATTACTGTCGAATGCAATTTAGGAAACGTGGTAGGAGTTAAGGAAGCGAAAACCTGTTCAGCGATGTCGATCATGTTTCGTTTTTCGCACAGCAATACAAAATGGAGTCTTATTACGAAAAAATTTTATACAAAAAACTGAAATATTTAAATAATTTAAATAGTTTTCTACATTAACTTACAAATAAATGGACGACGGGTCTAATACAAAAACCACGAAAAAAATGTCCCAAGTCAACCTATTCGAAATTTAAATTGTAATGTCATCGCAGTATCGCGCTATCAGTAGAACAAATGAAGACTAAAGCGGAGTGTCGCGCTCTGTATACGATTTTAGCGCCTTACAAGTGCGGACACTTTTTAGCGCGGACCCGACGTCCATATAATTGTAAGTCAATGGTTTTCTAAGATTTAGATACGCAAATAAAGCACGTTCGTTACAATATTTAGCTTCTTGTTCGGATAATCGAATTACCAGGGATAAAAAGGGGTACAAACCCCGTTTTATCCCTGGTAACAGTCGTTAGGTCAAGTTAGAGACAATAGGGTGACCAAAAAAATATGTATTAAACAGGGCGGGCCACACAAAAAAGAACAATCCCGTTTACGCGAATTTCGATTAACGCGATTTTACTCAGCTCTCCATTAATATGATATATAAATTTGTTGCTTTCACTTAGTTCGAACCTTCAACTCGTGTTTTCCCAATTCCACAACTTCGAGTTACGACAGTGTTTTAGTTTCAGATACGATACTGTTCTATAGAAAAAATCTGACAAACAATGTCTCGTTTTGTACGATAACATCATGTTCTATAGAACAAACGGGAACTTCCCCGACCTTTCACACTTGGTGTACATCACTGGCTTTACAAGTTTGGTTTAATTTTTATTTAACTGGCTGAATATGCTGCTAAAATACTACATCAATAACTAACCAATAGGTATGGTCTAATATCTTACATCTATGGAGATTTCATATCATGGGACATCATTTATCGGCTTGTAATTCGCGTCTTTTGTCTCTTGCATTACCTCAAGCGATAGCGACTTTTATCTTTCATAATTAACTTTTAACCGTAATTATTACATTAATTACTTTTAAAACCTTAATTATAATTATTTGTGGATCCAGTTTACATAGTATTAAATGGACTGATCTATCGGTAAAAAATGGAAATAATTAGATAACAATACACTTGTTTTTAGCTAAATTATTATTAATTAATGTCATTTCTCATTTTCATTATTAAACATCATCTTTCACCGATGACCATTCATCGTTTGTACCCAAAAGAATAAATATGAAACAAATTATACTAGCAAAAAAATGCATACAAGCAAACTATTTAACACAGTTAAACGCGAGATTATTATCATTAAAAACAGAACCTCGGTTACATTTGACAGAAAATTAATACTATATATAATGAAAAAATTTAACACTAATTTGGTTCCGCAAATACGTACAGTGCTTCTATTTTCTCAATATCCCTCGGCAAACTTCGTGTTTCAGTTGCCATTTGCCTTTGGTAAAGACCGGACGCTTTCAGTCGACTTGGAAGTACATAGAGTTGCTATTACATTTTTTTATTTATTATACAAAGGTAGGAAAGCCGCTAAAGTCACAGTCACGACTGATAATTTACAGCGTGTATAAGGTACGTTGTTCAAAATTCTAATTATTATAGATTTTAAATCTAATAATCTGGACGTGGAAATTGATATTCGTGTGCATTTGGAAATCCGATGATTGCCGAGGGACATTAAGAAAAAAAACCGAACGCGGTATCGTATGGTACACTGGGTGCTCTTAGCACGTCATGCGTTAGATAGGCTCACGGAGCAGATACACCTGCGGAACAAAATCATTGTTACGAAAAATACCGAAACAAATAATCAACGTTTCATACAAGTCGCTATCGCAGAGTCGAAAGTAGTTCAATGATCGCGCGGCGCGTGCGCATGCGTGTGCGTTGGCTTGTGGTGCTTGTGGCGGGGGCGGTTGGGCTGCGCACCACTGTACATGTCGCGGACGCTGCTGCTGCGAACACGGTTTTAAATAAATACCGATGGTATTTGTTAATTCGTCAACAGTGATTATGTACAATTTCCACACTTGATGTTAAAAGAATACTGTAGATAATGTAGTTTATTTACTGTACACTGCTGGAAACTATAATGATAAGTTAATAGTGGCTATTGTAATATAACATGTGTACATTAACTTATTTATAAAAAAGTCTCAATAGTCATGAAACTATATTGACAAGTTATGGTTGACAATTCAGATATTATTACCTTTTTTGTTAAGAGTTTTATATTAGAAACGTTATTAACAAATTAACATTGACTACTAAGACTTTCCGTGGAATAATATATGCGGCGTTGGAGTTGCGAAACTATGAGAAAATGACACATAACAACCACCGTACAAATCATGCAACAAAAAAAGTCCTTAAATATCACATGCCATAAACCATTAAAAGCAATAAGAATCGAGAGTCATGGCCATAGGCAAAGTATTATTTAAATTTGAAGGAAATAATACACATAGCGTGGACAATAACCCCATTCTGAAATTTCGAAATCACCGTTGTACGAGGAAAAATTATTTATTTATGACTTTTTATTATTTCGCAAAAAAATTTACTTTGAAATAGTTGCAATTGAAATTTCAATGACGAATATTTCTGAAAAAAAAAACCACGTTAATTTGTAACAGATGATCCCACATTTAATGTTTAATCGAAACTATGTAAAAATTTGCATTTTACATACATACATACATATACCTCACGCCTTTTTTCCATTGGGGTGCATTTTACATACGCAAATAATTCGCTTTTTACTATAGTTAACTAATATTGTATAAAAAAAATCCAGATAATTTGTTTTCGCAGTGTAACGACAACATAGCGACGTGGACGAACAAGTCATGCGCCTGGTGGTAAGCGACACGCCTGTCCACAGCAGTTGCAGTGCCATTAAATTGCAAAGATCTGAGGGGCACTGCCACCGCGCCTGTCACCCTGAGGCATAACTTGACAAGACCAGAACGCAGTAAAGTGAGCATTACTGCTTGGCGGCAGAAATAGGTGAAGTTTTGGAAGAGCTACTTCCAAAAGGAGCTCTACTGCTGCTAAAAATTTAAAAGTAAATCCATTATTTTAATTTTTGCCTTTTATTTTAAAACATTCCGTGATTTGGGAAGGAAGTAGTATCCACTCTACGTGTATTAGTTGAAGTTTAGGTAACTATGTTCTGCCTATTTCTGGTCATGACACCAAAAAACAAAACCATTTAACCAAGCAAACTTTAACGGCAATATGATTAAAGAAATAAATATACAAAAATAAATACTGAAACTATTTCGTCTCGATTTTTTTAAAACAATAAAAAAAATGTAATAATTAAATTTTTATTCCATGAAAATAGCATCCAACTATAAAATAATTAATTACGTTCTTTAGTATCATTTAAAGTAGTATTATAGAAAAAAAATGTGGGTTACACCACTTTTGCGCTGATAGCCTCATCTGAAATCAACAAGGTTGTCTTTGGAAAATCTCGTCAATTGTTTTCGTTCAGTAATAACTTTTTTACAAAAAAAAACCGACCTCAAAATGTGTGAGCAATTAGATCTATTTCCTAAGTTTCATTGAAATCGGTTAGCGGATAGTGGATAAAATGTAATAACCCGGCTTCATCCCCTAATTGACCGTCCTTAATATTTTGTTGAATGGACCACCTTTCCAACAAAAAAAAAAGCATAATCGAAATCGGTCACAAATGATAATCAGATAATCAGATAAATCGCGTAACATATTATTATATCGTACGTATCGCGTATCGTAACATATACACACAACGAAAACACGTTCGAATTGAGAACTTCCTCCTTTTTTTTAATCGGTTAAAAAATACCTTTACGTAGTACGAGTGTCTCGCTAGGTCTATGAAGCAACCTAGGCCGTTCTTTTTGCGTGTTTTAATATGGTATCCGTTAGTTCCTTGTTAGCGATGTCACAGGTAACATTAATGTAAGTAACCCACATTGAAACCAAGTAGAAGTAACCAATATTTAACAACAAATCAAACCAAACAACTGTCATAGCAAACTTATGTCCAGCGTTAATAATAAATAGCAATAAATATAAATATGTATTTATTACGAGCTCTAATAGTAGTAGCGCCTGCGCCAGTATCTGGAATTGAGTGAAATTTATGTTTGAATTTGGAATAAGATTAAATAACCCTCCATAATTGAGATGAGTCCCTTTCCTGCTGCACCCCCGCAAATAACGGGAAGACGATTGGCCGAGCGTATTCCATCCTTCCACCAGAAAGTTCCATTTAAAGCGATCAACTACCAATAGAATGTCATAGTTTCACTAAACGGAAATATGTCAATATAACCAAACACATGGGAACCCGGTAAATTCTATGCAAGCATGTTTTCCACATTGTAGGCCACCTAACACCAACAAGCACCCACGAACACTGTATTGCACAAAGGCGATTTTTATTTGTGACTGATATTTTGCATTTTGTTGTTGATACAACTACTTTGCAGTGATTGTGGCCAGGGTTCAATATCATGATTAATACATAACATAACAGGGGATATCATGTTTTTTTTTTATAATTATACATGCTGATTCTTAGTCCGGTCTCTTTAATTTTCGACTAAAAATGTCAAACAATAAGAAAACTAAATAAAAACGTAAAAAAATAATTGGAAATACGATTTGGTTTCAGACTTTTTTGAGATTGACATTTGCCTCGTTTGGATACTTTCGGATACACATGGCACAACATTTGCTAGCGGCAGCATTTTGCTTTTCCAATTATTTATCTAAAATCAAAACAATTATCAAGGTATATCTATCATGACAATTATCAATAATTAATGATAATTCCCACTTCGAATCCTGATTGTTGCAAAGTTGCAACGCCTGCACTGCCTATAATTGCAGTACCAAGTTTGTGGAAGTTCATTCAACTTTATACAACACTTTTGGTCTGTAATCTGGCGTTACGTTTTTTGTACGCGGCAGGCGCTGTATTCGTTTTCACGGAGCCAATAGAGTTTAGATATGATCAAGTATCAATGCGATTGTTAGTAAATGAAAAATGGTTTTTATTGCGCTTGAAAAGATGACGAACAGATCACACAAACAATATACATTGAAAGTATCGGTCGCTGTTGTTACCGTTTTTTGTGTAATGGACCAAAATTCTATGTAAACTGAAAATGTTTTCCCCAATATTGCGATTATATTTTTAACTAAATTTACCTATACAATGAATCACAGTTAATAGATGAGTTTTGCCAATCAGTTAGTAGAGTCGAGGTGCAATTTACCTCGTCGTAAGGGGACTGGCTGTAGGTCGGAGCGGGCGCCGCACGCTCGGTCGGTAGTGGCCACTTGGGCTATGGCCACCGGTGTTGTGGCCACTATGACTGTGGGTACTGGCGGTATGGCCACTGGCGCTGTGGGCAATCAGGCTATGGCCACCGTGGCCGTGACCACTGTGTCTGTGGCCACTGTGACTGAGGCTACTGGCGCTGTGGCTATGTCGGCGAGTGTCTTCGCTATTGGAGCTGCAATTTATAGTACTACACACTACCATACCTAATTTGCTTTTGGAAGAGATGATCAAATTGACTTTTTAATACACATGAATTAAATGTAGTAATAAATTTACAATTAAATAATAAAAACGTTTTATGTTGTAAAATTGAATTAAATATATTTATTAAAACGGAATTGAATTTAACCCATCGGAACAAGCTTTTTTGTGTCCACGCAAAAAGAGCCAACAAGACGTTGCGCGTTTCGCTTCCAATCGGACCGCCGCCGACGCAAAAAGCACATCTGTTTCGTTCTTATTACATGGACAATTACCCAGTCGGATTAATTTGATTCAGAGGATCTAGTCCCGTTCTCTATCCGAAATAATTACCGTCAAATAAGTAACACTTGACCATATGAGAAAACAATGCCAAGTATGAAACGTCATTCACATCATACGTCTTTTAATTTATTATGTATTACTCATGGCGGTAATTGTTTCGGACAGATGTCAGACGGGGGACGGGATAAACCCCCTGTATCAATAAGTGTGGTGATCCCTCATTGAAAGATTATCAACAGTTACAGGTTTCTCATTACCGTTTTTTGTTCCTTTTACGATATTTCAGGACATTCAGTTACGTCACCCGTGACACAATTATTATTGATGAGTTCACCGCACTACACAATCCCCAAGTACTGTCAACGTCCCACTCCTAGACACCGAGACTCCTCCACAGTGCTGGTGAAATTAAAGGCACATGGGACTTGTCAACTTATGTCTCAGGGTGACGAGCGCAGTGGCAGTGCCCCTCAGGTCTTGGCGATTTAAAGCTCTAAGTGGCACTGCAACTGTTATGGACAGGCGTGTAGCTTAGCATCCGGCGCACGACTTTTTCGTCCCGTCACTTAATATCACAAAAAAACTGGTTTGAAGTTCATTTTTCTTTCTCAAAAAACTGTAAGTAAAATACATTGATAACTGCGTGAAACGGAAACAGCGAATGTGCTAATATCAAATTTGATATAACATTGACACGCTAGTTTCCAGAAAAAGTCATCGAGATTACGATGCCCCAATCGTTTAATCCTGAAAAAGGGGTTTAAACTCTCCAGTGATTGAAATGGAGGGTGTAACTGCGAAGAAAACAAAAAATTACACTGTAGTAAGAAACCTGTTGAATATCATTTAACCCCAATACCTAACTGAAAAATTAGTCTATAATTGGCATATACCTTGTGTGGACTAATATGGTTGTCTTAACAAATTTGTCACTCTAATTATCTCTTCAAAATAAGTACTTATATTAAATAAATAAAGTTCTAAATATACATAGAAATTGTTGTGCTGATACAAGACATAATATGAGAAAGTGCTATGCACGTACATTCCAGGCACTACAAGAAATTTCTACAAAGCATATAACTTTCTAGAACATTCATTTGTTAAGCTATTAAGGATCTGTTTCACTGCTTAATAATAAAAGATTATTTTAATAATAAACATGTACCCAATAACAAAACTATAATTGGTAAAACTATAATTAGATACATATTCCCTTATATCATGTATATACTACTATTGTCAATAACAAAAAGTTACATTGGTTACACCACTCCTCTACATGAGTACTCGAATGCCCCCTCCGTCACTGGTGTTACCGTTTTCCTGTCATCGATTCTACTTAATCAAATCGACTAGTAATTACTCCATAATTTGGTAAATTATTGACAATTTGCAGTAGAAAGATGAATTTAGAATTAAATGACTTTGATGGTCCAACAGTTTGCACTGTGGGTGCTGAAAAAAAGGTCCAGGTTCAAGTCCCGGTAGTATCCAATCCGGTCTGAGCGTTCCAGGTAATGTATACGCACAGTATATGGAACTCGTGGGTTTGAGACCAGGTAACCAATTATCTGGTAGGTTATTGGGCACATTATTAGTATTCTTCAACAAGATTTCGGTTGATATTCAACATTTGCCATATACGAGGATTAAACCTCGTGAAAAAAGGACTTTATGCAAAAAGTTTTATTGTACAGCTTCTACGTACTTGCATGTCAAACATCCACGGCAGTGCTAGTGACCCCTTTAGATCTTTCAGGTTGTCTCAATCTTATGATATTTGAAATAAATATTGTAAATGGCTGTACAAATGTTTGTTTACAAAGTGCTACCCTTAAAGTGATTCCACCTTACGAATGACTAGTACAGTCTAATCAATTAGACAATTTCAAGTGATATTTGCTTACCTAAGAAATAAATTTATATTAGCTTGAGTTTGAAGTAGTGAAACAGATTCCTGGCGTTGTAACATTCTATACAACTTTGTAATAAAAAATAATACTAACCCCGTAGACATATAACGTTTGGTGCGAATAGTAATCACTCGCACTCATAACATATAACGGTCCGTATTAATAAATATATCTCAAGTGCACGCCGGATATTAAGACCTCAAGTCAACTGTTTTTATGAAATTTTGTTTGATAACTATCATGATAACTATCCAATATACATGCGATAATTATCCATGATGATTCATAGTTAACTTTGTTATTAAGTTTTCTAGGAAGATATATTCTTAGGATAACGATTACGATATTTGACACGTTTGAATACTTCTCTGATACAAAGACATTATTAACGGTAGCATTTTTGTTCCACTTAATTATATAAATACCAAGAGAATTTATCAATCATAATTATCACTTCGAAGCGTGTTAATAAATATCACTTGAGTGCACAACAAAATTTCCGGTTAAACGTTATCAGCACATATGCTTCGATTCAAGGTCAATGAAGTCCCAATCAATCAATTTCACGGTTCTGGTCATCATCCAAGATATACCGAACAAATATAATACAGTAAAATTTGAGGATGTTTCTCGAGATCTTATTGATAGCTCAGCGGATACGCATTTAATACCAGACTTGAAAACTCTTTATTAATACGGGCCAAAAAAGCCGGTCTTAAAAGCCGGTCTTAAAAGCCGATCTGTATTGTCGTAGTAGCAAGGTTCACCGTCCCTGGACTTAGTTGAATTGACAAAAATTGATGTGAATAAAAAGTACTTCTAGGTTTGCGCAACGATTTTGCACACGGATTTATGTACACGATATTGTTTATGTATATTCTTAACATTTGTTTTCCTTATGCCTAATAGATGGCAGCCTCTAAACGTTATCTAACCCATTATCACTCATGGCTTGTTTGTGGCGTCATCTGTTAGCACAAAATGAAACTGCGTAGTTGAGAGCTGTCAGAAAGTTTGGCCTTCTATTGAGTAATCACTCTTTGTAACATACGAGTTTGTGAAAGTAAGGCACTATTGTCAATTCAAAGTGAACTCCAGAGACGATGGATTTCAACTACAACGGTAATCAAACTTTTAACGTCGTGGGGGTACGACAGTACATAGAGAAGAGTAACTCACGTTTGCGTGGAGGGCGCGGGCGGCAGCGCCAGGCGCTGGGGCGCCGCTGGCGGGGGCGCACGCCCGGCCTGCACGCTGCGGTAGCGGGGCGCAGATGCGGCGCCCGCCTTCATTTGGAACTCCCTGCGAGCAAAAATAATGCTCATATCAAACTGCAATTACAAGAAACCCAACATGTTTTTTTATTAAATAACTTTTTACATATATTTGCTAGTTTTATTGAACCCTTAATAATTATATTTTCTTGAATGGAAGTCCCGACTGAATTTGGTAAAATGAGTTCGGTTTACGAGACAGTTATGAAAATCATCGTGATGTAACCTATACGGTTAGCATAAACATTTTGAAAACTTTGAAGTATCCGACATAAGGATTTAGTTCACCGCGGTGGGCCATCAACGCAGTGAAAAGAAAACAAAGAAAGAAAATAAATTTATTCAGAACAAACACATGTCCAAACACGTGTATTACACTGAAAAGGGCCCAACTCAGCAAATACTGCGGCGAAGCTACAGCGCTGGTTTTCAGTAGACCCTTTTTTGAAACTGGCCGATTTAAAAACTTACAAATAAAATTAAAAGAAAATAAAAAATTGTGGACGCGTATTAAAATAAGTACAACATATAAACAACTCAATTTGATCAGAAAAATAAAATTGTCACTATTTCTTTATGTATTTTATGTTTATTTTTGCGTTATACAAATAAAATTTCTTCAAGTGTATTTTGCAATATTAAAATGTGCTTTCTGAGTTTAATTGCGAAAGTATAAACGGACTGGAGTGGACTAAACCTTTGTGGAAGACGTGTTTAACAGTGACCTATTTATATTTAGTACAGTGGTATGCTTGCGTCTCAGAGACGACCAATGGTGACAATGATGATTGTAAAAGTGATGATACCTGTCAAACTCTTCTGCGTCGTCTTCATCGATGTTGATGAACTCCTGGTGTTCTTCGGCGTCACCGGAGTAGTAATTCTGCTCGCGCTCAATTAAATGAGCGCGCTCGCCAATGTGATGTCCTGCAAAGAGGTATTGCTTCTTTAGAATACACCATTTAAATGCAATGTGTTCAAGCAGCAGTCTTTCTGCTGCAGCCACAAAATTACTTATTTAAATTTCAATCAAATTGCCTTAGAAAAGATTGTTTTCAAATTCATCCTACTGTAAATCGAACCCAGGCCCTCCTCATTCAGTGCAATCAAACTATAATTTATCCGCATGTTGGGCTCAAAAGTCGTCTCCTGGTGAGTTAGTCAACTATATAATTTGTGTTTAAAGCTAGGCATAGTTAGAATCAAAATGAATGGCCAACGAATGAATCCGAACTATCAAATTAACTAAAATATCTAGACATTAAAAGTGGTGATTTCTTATTCAAGTGCTTCAATATAATATCTACAAGTATATTCTTTATTTCTTAAGTAAACAAATTACACTTACAACAGGTTACTCGGAAAAAACGAGTAAGAAATTCTAGGATCACGCTTTGTAAATAGACATAGTTCATAGTAATTAGATGCATCCATCCGTTAGATCCATGGCTATCTGCCTGCTTTTCTCCGAAAACTTTATATGAAAATCTAAATACCATTCGCATAATCAAGTGAGACAACATTGACCATTCAATCGCATAAAATATAATAAAGTATATTTATTTTTTCTTTTTTTTTACATTTATGTATTTATGACATTTATTTTTCACATTCATTCATTTCAGGCCACATGACCCATATAATATATACCTTAAGGACTAATTAATATACATACAATATAATATGACAATAGAATAACCTAAACAACTAATCTACGCGGATTGCACTTGTCGGCGACGTGTGGCGCAATCTGGTGTCAATAAAATTCACCAACAAGAATACGAAGTAATGCGACCAATTAAAATATTTATATTTTGTCGATGAATCGATTTTTTAAGCCACGATTAATCGGTTGCTTGACTGTTTTGCTTAATAGCTTACTTACTACCTTACATTGACTGTTCGTACCATGACACGCTTAAAGTAAGCTTATTATAATGTTAAAGCTATGATGTTTTTGTGGCAGCTTTGTGACTATTCATTCACTCAGTTCGTACTATGATGTGACTTTAATATTAAAGTAATATTGTTCTTATGTCAAATTTAGCAATCTTAAAATAGTTACACGGATGCAATGGAAACAATATTATTTTCGAATTTATTGTCTGAATATTGATTTGTAATTATTAAAAGTTAAGATGAACTTATTTACTTACATATATATATCTCTTCAATATTTTGTTTATTTTTTTATTTATATACGGACGAACCAGCGAACGTCACGAATTTTTCTATGTGCTTGCGTCGTATATTTGTATTTGGTTTTCTTAATCTTGGAACAATTTCACAAAAAATAATTGAATATTAATTCAATAAAAATTTACAATTTGAGATATACCTATGTAAATAAATAAGTTCAATTTAACTTATAATCTTCACAAATCAATATTTAGACATTAAATTCGAAAATAATATTGTTTCCATTGCACACGGATGCAACAACTATTTTAAGATTTCTAAATTTTACATTAATCTTAAAATCGCGTCATAGTACGAACTGAATAGTCACAAAGCTGCCGATAAAACATCACAGTTTTAATATTATAATAAGCTTACTTTAAGCGCGTCAAGATACGAAAAATCAATGTATGGTTAAAGTAATATTGTTTTAAGAAGTTGTGGTATGCCCCCAGCTCTTGTTTGTAAACTTTGATAAAATTCCACAACGACTAAGCCAGGCACATTGATGTTTTCATGCAGATTGACTCTTTTGTTAATAAATGTCACAAAATCATTGAAATAACATTTTATTACAATACCAGAGAAAATAGAAAGCCTTTTCACGTAGATAGATTCAATAAGGATGTACATTTTTCGCATTTTTTCAGTGTATATCCTCAATTTTACTGTATATTTCTTCCAAAGTAATTGATTCAACACTTTCGCTGTTATGCAGAATCAACCAAAGCAATTTGAGGTATAAGCTCCATATCTTTCTACGTTAGTTTTGATTATAGTGACTCTCCGTACCTACCCTTACATACGAGAAGGGCACTATGACCTGTGCGCACACAGGAACCTTACAAGTTCAGGTTCTGACCCCAAATCAACCAGTGTACAGGGTACTCTGTCACTTGACTTCATCCGGTTCTTCGAGAGGCTAGTGCCTCGGGTGAACCGCCCCGGGTGCACGTACAGTACCCCTACTTTCCAGATAGGTACCAGAGCTGTCGCCACCGCTTAGCCATCGACTCTGAGTCCACTACCAAATCTCCTCATTGGCGGCGGAGCTGTAAGGCACGCTCACTTCCCGACGCCGAAAAATGACGTCTCTCCAGTTCCCAATAACTAAATCATGTGTTTTATTAGTCGCAATAAAATTTGAAGTACAACAGTGGTACTTTGTAAAATCAGTCCACGCGCATAAACCTTCGTTTACTGACAATGCGCCCCATGCAATAGCGGCAGAGCGCGACGAGTCGGGGGTAGACAAGATTTTTTTCTTGTCCGGCGCCGAGGCACTGCACACAGTTCGTGTGTAGAAACGACACGAATTCTTCTATAGACACGGCGACTTTGCTTAGCGTGTGCACGCGCCCTTAGACGTTACTAACAATACAAAGTGTTGAAAGTTTATTATATTATTATTAGTCATTGTTATTAATGCCGTGATAGCCTAATGATATTACTTACCACCTCTCAAGTAGAGGCCATGGGTCCTCGGAATTTGTGTGCGATATTTAATTTGAAATTTACCATGAGCTTTTTGATGAAGGAAAACATAGTGATAAAACTTGCACAGCACGTCGAAGAATGTTTACAATTCTCGGAAAACGTGTGAACTCCTCAACCCGCATTAGGCCAACGTGACGGACTATGGCCTAAACCCTCGCCTGAGAGGAGACCCGTGCCCAGCAGTGGGACGATGACTATTCATTGTCTAATTCTTTGGATCTTTAACACATTTGTGCATGTCTGTTTATATTTTTTTGGCTAAAAAATTTGCAAATACAATTTTTTTACGAGTGATTTTTAAAATTTTATGAATCAAATTTGTAATTTGCATTTATTTGCGTTAAAGGGGATGAGAAAATGTGCAAAATTGGAAATAGAAAGAACCATAACAACAACTAAATCTCTATGTTGTGCGACACTTACCAATAGACATCTTCTTGGTACCAGTGCGGGAATCCTGCAGGGTTTTTCTCGTTTCCTTGACACCATTCGGCCCGATCTTTGTGCTGCTCGTAGAACTGTATACCTGGGAATCAGACATTTGGAAGCAAATTATCAAATTGTTACCTAAACCAGTAACCATACTAAAATTAAATTACAAATTTACCATTACTCTTAGCGATTATACAATAAAGTTTCAAATTTATATCCTGAGAACAAAAACAAATCACATGACCTATGTTTAGATGTAATTTATTATCCTTTAGGCAAATTCTATACATAATATTGTTAAAGGCAACATTAGTTCTATTATTTATACACATGTAGAACACAAAGAAAAATTTCTTCAACTTCACAGAACTCAAACCTGTGACCACGCTAAACCAAGGTGATGCTCTGCCAACAGAGCTACAGGTCGAGTCAGCAGATCTTAGGTCTCAGATCAGTGTTTGTTGTAGATTTTTGTATCGGGTTTACTCAGCTTTTTAACTTAGTTCTGAACCGTTTGGTATAAAAAGAAACTTTTTTTTTCACAATTCTCATTGCATTTATATACACTTCCGGACACTTGAATCGAGCCACCTTGATTTTTTTGGTTTGGAGTACCGTAACTTGTAAAAAATCTATGTAGAAGGAAAATGTTTTGATGCAGTTTTGGAGCTGGTTTAATCAACATTCATTTAGAGTGCCACTGTTCTAAATTTGAACTACAGTTTATTAAAAAAGTCGAGTTACGTTGAAACAAGTCCATATTTGCTTTTTTCAAAGAAAAAAATCTAATCGATTTTTAAATAAAAAAATGTTTTAAATGAAAAGAAATGTTTATTTAGTAACTTGTATTGCCTCCCCGTGCATTAATGACAGCTCTCATACGGTTTGGCATAGAATTAATCAATGTCGTTATGACATGTTGAGGAATATCCTCCCATTCTTCCAAAATTACATTTTTGAGCTCCTCCGTTTACTTTACATTGATGCCAAATCAAGTTGCGAGTCTAGGTGCTATTTCCATTATTGTTACTATTGTTACAATTAATTTCTGATTATTTATGGTGTTACTTAAGAAATATAGTGGTGCAGTTTATTTGTTTCTAAGTGTAAAGAAAATTTAAGTATAAGGTGGTGCAAAGTTTCACAACACTAAAAATCTGTTGGTGAGAGGTAAAGAATCTTAAATGCCAAATAGTAATTTTTATCACAGAAAGCTTTAAAGGGGGCTCTTAATTAGATCATTTAATCTCAATCTTAATGTCAAATTAAATATGTAAAATAAAAAGAAACAATGACAGCACTTAGTGATTTTTAGCATTCTAAAGCAATGTCTGTAAAAACTTCTAAATACCAAAATATGGACTTAGCTCCTTTACGTCTCACCAACAGAAATATTCCCAATCTTACCTGTGGCTTGAAATTAGGTCCACTGGACATGACAACAGTACTGCTGCTGAAGGAACTGCCGGCTCCCATGTGCCCATCAAACATGTCACCTGTAAGCATACTGTGTTAAGTCTTCCTTCATAATTACAATTTTTAGTGCTGACACCGCAAAGTTGAAGCACTATATCTTTTTATTATTTATTATTGCGCAATAACTGTGCAATATACGACTCAATTGAAATAAGACCTCAAAAACCATCACCAGCATGTTGAGAGTAAATTGGTGGTGTTGTTGTTGTAGATATCTTCAAATCAATTGATGTCTGAAATTTTACATTATACTATAATATAATTATAATACAATTAAATGTTGTAAAAAATAAAAAATAAAATTATTACACTTATAATAACTTACACTTCTTGAGTTATTTTATATCACCGCGCATCTGAATTGTAGGTAAATAAGCATGCAATAATCCGACCACTAGTTATGTTTTATGTACAGACAAATCTAGATATAGTTACATTCAAATACTGACATTCCTTTTTAACTATACAGTCTTTTTTTAAAGCATGTCCACATAAAAGGGCAATGGACATAATTGTAAAAATATGTCTTAGGCATATTTAACATATAAAATATATTTTTTCTATTATTTTGTTAATCTCTTAACTCTGAATTCTGGAGTGTCTTAACTCTGAATTTCGAATTACTGGTTGTGCCTTTCTAAAAACTGGATGAATAGCAGCGATGTCAAAAGGAAATAGAAAATTTTGGGAAAATCTTACACCCAGGTGCGCTCCGTAATATCCTACAACCAAAAAATAACAAAATCTACTAACTTACACATTAATTTATCTAATATGAACATTTAGAGGTGTAAATGTATATTAAAATAAATGAAACCACATTCCTAAAATATGTTATAGTCTGTCTTTTTTGAAGATGTAGGAAAATTACAGTTTATTGCACAAAAGTGTTGCCCGCATGTGAGCAGCCACTGATTGCAGCCGATAAATATTCTATCCACTATCGACTGAATATTATGCAATAAATAACCGAAACTGATGTTATTAAATAATAAATAAATTTGAATCATCCTTGACCTATTATTCATCCAATTACTGAGCACAAGTTCATTTAAATTGTCAATTTTTTAATTTCATACATACATATACTGTATTTAGAACTACATTTATGAAAAATATATAGAGGAGACATATTTTTCATTTTAATTCAATACTATATATAATTTAATATTTTATGAAAACAGGCAACCCTACAAATGTCATTTACTCTTCAAATCTTCAAAAAAGACAGACTATAGTTGTCCGAAATGATAATACTTGCCTGAGAAGAGCTTGTTCAGCGAAGGCATCTGTGGCATGAAGGGCATTAGTGCACTCCCATGCCTTGGCCCACCAATGGCCAGAGGCACCTCTCCTAGCATGCCAAACGGGTCCGAAAACAATGAGTTCATCATGTTGTTCATCTGCCGCATGTGGCGCATGTGCGACCTACAATGACACGGAAGATTTCGTTTGATACCACGAAATATAACTACAGAACACAATCATATCAAAAGCCTTACTATAGTACTCATTGTATTTTCAAGCAAATGAACGAGAAGACATATTTCATAATCTTCTGTAATTATTTTGTATAGGTATAGATTGAATGGAAAATACCGTCCTCTATTTAATTTTACAGCACCTGCCATACTATCGATCGAATTTTTGTAACTATAAATCCTTTTCAAATGAAATAACAATAACAATCTCCATTTCCATTACAAATTAGTCGAATAATTTGGAAAAATATATGGTAATAAAGTTACCCGAAAAACGGATCATCCTCCACGTCGGCCATCAGCGACCCGAAAAGAGACATCTTCAAGCTTTCGCCGAACGCGAAACAATCAGCCAATAAACCAACAAAACGTGTCACCAAAAACAATCAGTATAAAAGCGTTGTGAAATTCTTGGCGTTTTGCGCGAGTAGTTGAATAGTCGAATCCTCTAGTAAATTCACGAAATTTTACTAAACGACCAGACAAAACACCTCGAGCGAACTGTCAAACGATATTACTAGAGGTGCGACAACATGTGAAGAGTGATCGAGCTTGTCGAAAATAATATTAATCGATTACTAAACAATCGGTTACATAAATAACAAAATCTATGATTGGTACCCATTGGTAAGTCAATGTTGGCACCAAAAAAACTCTTTGAGCTTGTGTTCATACTTCAGAATTAAATTAAAATTTAAAATTCTTAATTCAATTCGAATTGAATGAAATTAAAAATATTAAAAATTCAGTTTGCATGTATATACACAATGTGCTTTTGCTTACCGATGTACAGTTTGCTGTAAAACCGGACTTTTAAGTGTAGACACGGTAGTAAAGCATGATAGTGGGTTAAATGTTTTAGAATTTTAATTTCAACGAAAAAAAATCCCAAAATGTTATGATTTTACAGGTACGAAGGTGCTTTTAATATTAAATCAACACCCGTGCGTTTGTGAAACTTTAATGAAGTAGCTCATTGCATCCGGCCATACGCTCTAAACTTAGAGGATGGAAAAAAAATAAAGGCAATTAATCAGGACAAGTTAGCAAGGTTGGTTTAATTTAGTTTTGCAATAAGATTTTTTCTTTGTTATAAAGCAAAATAAAATCTTTTAATTACAATTTTACCAGTTTTGAACTTTCAAAATTTTAACGATTCCTAATATTTTTCTATAATTATTACTCACGATGGGACGTATAATGCGTTGAAGATGACAATGTGGGCGAGGGTCACCACCTGCATGAAGCACTTCGTCTTGTTGACCTCACGGAATGAAGCAGGTGTGAGGAAAGTGGGTAGGGAAGAACACATAAATAAATCACAACGAATATATATTTAACGAATAATTTCTAAAAAGCAAAACGTCAAAGCATTTATTGTGCGTAAATTTATAGTACGCGACTTCCAAATTTCCTTTAGAACGACTTACGTTTGCATCAGATCGAGTAGTAAGCCACAGGATAGTACAACTAACATTTGTACATTCGGTGCCCTCAATTATCCACTTACCCTACTTGGGTTACATTTTTCTTTCCATATCTTAGATCTAGGCGAAATAACTCTTTACTGGACGTATTACCGCCATTTTTCGTTAGTTGCTTTGGCTGCCTTACGTCAAACAGCAAGCTCTTTCGATGACTAATTTCTTGCACATACCTATTCTTTTCATTAGTTGTACAACAAGAGCTTCTGACGAATTTTGTGGAATTTTCTTTTTTTTTTATAACTGATAATAACTATAACTGATATGAAGAGGAAGAGCGTCACGTAGATAATTTACACCTGCTTATTGAATAGTTTCCCATTGTCCGTTCGAAGGACGGGAAAAATCTGAAATCTCGACTGCGTACAGTTGAAGTCGCGGCCGCATGCAGTTAGTCACGAGTCGTTCGAGACGTAGGAACCGAGAGAATCAGGTCCAGAAACCAAACATGTGCTGCCAGGCTTACGCAACAAATGTCTTCGCGCAAACGATTCCCGAACCTACTCGTAGACAGCTGTGAGACGTTGGTATTATTATACTATGTTACTTTCGTTGTTTGTCAACGACCAACGCAATCGCACAAGGAGCCTTTAAGACTTGGTCCCACTGCTTGGTTCCCTAGTGAGTTCAGTAGGATTTTCAAATGCTCGTGGTTCCATTGCTTAACACAAGTGGATCTATCATAGTTATACAGTCATCACTCCAGGCGATGTAATCGGAGTGACTTACTCGTATTATAAGCAGAGCCAATTTTTTTAACCCCGCACTAAGGAAACTCTATATCACGGTTGCCGTGGACACACACATAGACAACCACAATTTCTTACCGATACTAGTCTACTATTCTTGTGATATCATGACCCGTTTACTTATTCTTGTGATATGATACGTTTACAAAGTAAAAAAATATACGCCGCAACGTGCTCTACCTAGGTTACACTTTAATGTAAGGTGTCGATTTTGTATAAGAAATGAAACATGTAATTGAATAATGGATAAACTGCCCTGTAAATAAAAGTAACTCAAATTATTCTGAAACCAATCCTCAAATATTTAGACTGATTTAAAATTTACGGTGACAAACTCATTTAGGTAATTTTAAACGTTGTGCCTTCTTTATTTTTATGTTTTTGTGAACATTAATACGAGTGCAATTCGATCTATATTACCACGTTCGAAAGGTGTTACGCTCGAAAGATTGATTAAATTTATACTAATCAAACGCCATGAAAGAATTTAAATCGCACCACGGATGAATTAGAATTTTGGCACTACATGCAATTAACAACAAGACCAGACGGATATGATAATCACGGATTAATCATTTGCATCTCGAAGAACTGAATACTTTAGTCAACACAGCAAATGAGTGAATTTGACAAAGTACCTACTGCAAAATGCTGTTACTATTATATATACATATAGCCAAGTGGCAGGAGTAGAAATAAATCTACTCCTGCCACTGGACTCCCATACCTATAATCCAATGGGAATACAGTATAATTTTATATGCTCTTAGTTCCTATCTATGCCGCTGGAATTGGGATTTTACTAGTCAGTCTGATCAGCGATTCCAAGTTGGCCATTTATTCTATTTCATTGACTTTAAACACAAAACAGTACACCTTGATATTATATTTTACAGCTTAATCATTTCCCTTTCACTGACATTATAAAACCAAACAAGACAATTTATGATGCGTTACCGACACTAAACAATGAGCAACAACAAGAAAAAGAACTAAAAATAAAAAGACTTCATACATAATCTACATTTGCACAATACTGGGACTTTCACTTTTTTTTCAATAAGCAGAGGATTTTTTATTACTTCACACAGGACGTCTGCTGCGATAAGCATAAGCGGGGGCAAAATCCCCGTGAAAACTCCATCCATTGTTATTTATGTATTTTGTAAACCGCATATCTTGCAAGCCGTTTCTGTTTTTTCCAAATGTTTGCATCATTGGTCCCTGAAAAATTAATATTTGTAATTATAATTTTAATAATAAGTAAAATATATAAAAGTTCCCATTAAATAAATATAATCATGATATTTACCTTCTCGGCTATAGAGTCGCCTTGAGGCTTATTTATCTGAGTCGTATCCCGAATTTGGCCAATGTTTTGCTCAGGTTTGGCAGATTTTGGTTCTTGGATGGTGTTGACGTTTTCTATTGTATCGCCACCGACCCTCTCTATAGGAGCTTGACCACGATTGTAGTTAATTTGTGCATTAATTCCGCCAGGTGGATATAATTGTCCGTCGGATTGAGAGCTTCCTTGTGGTGGTCTTATACTTTGTTGCATTCCGACATGTCCAGCCTTGTATTGTCGATAAATATGACGTAGTTGACTCTTACTTGGTGCTTGTCCCATAACTCTATTGGCAGCTAAAGAAGTTTTGCTCACACTATTTTTGACTGAACTTTCAAATCTATCTTGTGGAGATAAAGTTTGCGGCAAGGGAGGAATGGGCGTGTGATATTTGTCCGCCCGTTCCAAACTAATAGGCTGCCCAAGGGTGTTGTAATTATGAGCATAGTTAGGCTGTGCATAAGCAACGGTGTTTCTTGATGTATCCGCTGGATATAAAGTTTCTTTAATCATGCCTTGATTTTGAATTTGAGCATTCGGGTCTCCACTGGCTCTATAATTCAGCCGTGCTCCAGTTGCAGGATCTATCATCTGCTGTTGTGGTGTTTGTCCCTCCTGAAACAATGCCTGACGTTGCTGCATTGTATCAGCACGGCTGATAGTTTGTCCCTGCTGATATTCTGTTTGACCTTGTAGTTGCTGCGAATGCACCTGACCTTGTAGCTGTTGTGGTGTTTGTAGCTGTTGTATCGGTTGGTTTATTGTTGGTGTCGTAAGTGATGTGTAAATCTGTTTATTTTGAGGTACAATGGCTCCAGGACTAACCACTTGTTGCTGGTCTTGATCTATTTCACCTATCTGGCCTGTTGCAGTAAACCCTTGTGGGTCAGGTACACCATTTTGTGTAGGTTGTCTATTTTCTGTTAAGTTTTGTTGCCCTATTGGAGCATTTAGTTGCTCAGAATCTTGTTGTTGTTGCTGGGGAAGACGCGCCGAGATTGTATTCAATCCTTGAATAGCTGGTTGCATTATATTTGACCTTATTTGCGGTTGATTGTTCATGATTTTGTTAATGTTATCCATTGCAGCTCTCTTTTGATTAGCTGGATTCATTTGTATTGCAATAGCCATAGGATCAAAGCCTAAATCATTCCCTTCAGCAACGCCCGGGAACATATTCTGAAATGCTTTCATACCCAAGGTATGTTGACCATAATTATTTGATCCATTAAGCGGTACTCCTGGCCTTGAATTCATCAAACCTGCATTCTGGGCTGCTGTTGATGGAGCCGAATTTTGTATTCCTTGTTTCATATTTTGAACCATATTACCATTCATTTCATTACCTTGAGTATTATAAATGTTCGCTTCGGGAGGTTGAGAATACATGTTATCTTGTGTGACATAATGAGTTGTTGGGTTTGCCATTTGTGAATTTCCCATACCCATGTTTGCCGCTGGATTATTTATATTGTCATTAGCGCCCATCGCAGGAGAGTACGGTGTCAGTCCAATTTGGCCATGTGGTGACTGTGGAGCATCAATGAGCATACTTTCTCCTTTACCTAAATTGCCCTGAATCCCACCTGCTGCTGTCCTCCAAGAATTAGTGTTGGCGTTACGGCCATTCATCATCATATTAAGAATTTCATTTCCCAAGTGTTTCATTGGTTCACCAGACGCTGCGTTGTGGTCCATTGTACTTGCCATGGCACCTGTAAGCATACTTAGATTTTGATTAGGTCCTGTACCATTAGCTCCTGAAAGAGCTGTATCTTGTCCAGCTCTTGAAAGAGCAGGAATCTGTTTAGCCAATGGAGAATTTCCTACTGAATTTCCCGGAGTCAGAGATTTTAAATCTTGGTACATTTCATGAACAGCAGGTCGCATAAGATTTTGGTTTAAATAATTGTACGTTTCACTAAAAAGCTTCGGTGCAACACCTTCTAAAGATTTCATCATTTTAAATTTATCATTTGGCGTACCCATTTCACCTCCGCGCATAGGCATTCCTCCTGCATTCATGCCCATATAATTATTGTCTTGATTAAAACCAGTATTCATTCTGCCACCAGTACCCATACCCATGCCGCCAGCACCCATACCGCCACCACCTCCCATACCCATACCGCTAGCACCCATGCCCATACTGCCACCACCTCCCACACCTCCAGCGCCCATGTCCATTCCGTTCCTGCACATTCCACCCCCGGACATCAGCGAATCTCCATTATTATAATGCACGCCATATCCATGCCCACGGCAGCACCCATGTCTGCATCCACTGCACGTGGGTAATGAACTACCCATATGTGCATTTTCTTGCCCTGAATTAAATATCTTGCCCATGCAACCACTGAAACCAACGAGTTTAATTTTATAATAATGAGGAATTATCGTTACGGAATTGTCGAATTATTTACAGAATCAGATTCCTGTTGTGACTCATAGAATAAGAATCAAGGCTATTTTCTTTGGAAATACGCAAATGACTTTTTAATCATCATTAACATTTTTACTAGGTATTATTCAAAGACTTTATTTTTGAAAAGCAGTCTCCTGTGTCACCAATAAACCATGTGTATGTGTTTGAGATAGTGCGTGATGTGTATTGGTTTTAAGTGATAACAGTTTAAACGTAACCCAGAGAATGTACAAAACACGATGAAAGTATTGATGAAGTCAACGTCTATTAGGCTCAACTCACACTGGCGCAGAGTCGATGCTTCACGAAGCGTCATGTTTATCGCCTATTGCATATTCATATCTATTTTCCCATTATTAAGGTACAAATTTGTGTTATGCAAATATGGAGCCGAGCGGCTTCTCGCGTCGACGCTTGGTTGCGGTGAGGCGTCAGACGCCGACCACACCGTAATCCGGACGCACTAATGCGAGCGTCGACGCGCGTCGCCAGGCGTTGTAGTTGAAAAACGGGACGCGACGCTTCGACTCTGCGTCAGTGTGAGTTGAGCCTTAGACAGTAGCCAATTTGTGATGCCTTCACATGCTCAAGGATTTGGTAGGTGAAGATATAAGAAAACATCGTTTTTTTTAAACGAATTCCTAAATCTAGTACACAAGATATGGCAACTACGATACTTCAATTAATCACAGATTGCTTTTCCAGAGAATAGCACAAGTCTTTTGCACCTAGATAGTCCTAAGCTTGTAAGTACGCTATCATTTATCAATGAAATATGGTGGCCTGCCCACGTAGCACACATCACGTGTAATAAACAGTGACAATAAACTAGTGATGAAAGATACTCACGTCTTTTAAGGAGTTTTATAATGACTCGACTCCATTTTACAGAACTCGACTCTAAAATTAATACTGGGGGTTCGAGTTTTTATTAATAAGACTCAGTCGTTATACTAAAAGACTCAAAAGACTTGAACGACTAGAATGACTTGAAAGAAAAACGACTCGAGTTGTTTGCAAAGGACTTATATCTATTTTATGTTTTATTAAGCCCGAAGTTTATAAATAAAAATTACGTAACTAGTGTGTAGTAAATAATCACGTTTATTTACTTATAATAAAAATCGTAAAATAAATACCTTGTGGGTAGAAATAAAATCACGCCGTACGGCTCATGACTCGCGACTCCCGAGGCTATGAGGCGCCAGTCGTTTTAATCGTTTTAGTCTTTTTAGTCGTTTTAGTCCTATAAATATTTTTAAGCTTCCTAGGGTTAAAAGACTTCGATTCGAATTAGTCTTCAGTTTTAGTTTTATAACTCAAGACTTGAGGGCTAAAAGACTAGACTAATCGTGAGGCGTTGAAAATTAGTCGAGGTTTTTTAAAAGGCCTTTAAAGACTGAGTCTCTTTCATTACTACAATAAACAGACTCGTAGCATCACAAAAAAAACATGGTATTTTATTTTTTACACCTAAGGCATAATATTCAAATTTGGATGGTGATTAAAAAGTCACCCGTATGTGATTTTTTCAATAGATGTTCATGTACGGAATTTACATGACGTGATTGACCAAAGAAATAAATTTAATGTAAGATTCATAAACTGTCTTTACCAGTCAGCACTTTGAAGTTGATTCATTACACTTCCCAACTCACTGAGAATCCTTTGCTTATCTAAAGCCATATTTTTATTTTCTGTTTTGCCCTTACTTAACAAATTTTATATTTCTTGCCAAAATATAACTTGAATTTAAAAATTAAATCAAATTAAAAAAGTTTCAAACTGTCAAAATTTTATGGAACTCATAGTGTTTTGTTTGAAATTTTTCGACATTCAAAATCATGACTTGTCTTAATTTGCCAGCCATAAATATATCCTCTTAAATACATTTCAGAAAAAGGATTTATATAATACACTTTTTAAATGTGCCGCTATTTCTAGACAATTTTTATTTCTTTTAGTGATCAGCCTAAATACTTCTAGAGTTGTTGACTACTGAAGATGGCAAAGATGTATCGATTAAAATCTTGTTCAGAAATTAATTGAATCGTAACGAGTAATGCGTCTTATGCGTGTATCCGATCCGAATTTAAGCTCCTAAAGGCAACATTTTGGCCTAATTGTCTTGTAACCAGGCCATAAATATTTAAAAAAAAAAGCAAAATCCAAAGGTTAAAGTTCTTTCTGTCACTATAGATTTTGCCATCTATTATCTGTCATTTTGCATTTTCATGCTAAGTTTTTTATGAATTGTTATGTTCGCATTATCTAATACCATTATCTGGAATCCGTTTGTGTGCTGATAAGCAACTCCCTGCGTCACTAGCTGAGCTCCTCTCACTTCGCCTCCGTCGTTGCTGCCGTCAAGAGGTAATTATCACTTTCACAACCAAAATGCCTAGAAAAGTGTTCGTTGTCGGGGTCGGTATGACCAAGTTCATCAAACCCAACTCTGGCCCGGATTACCCAGATTTGGGTAAGGAAGCGGTTTTGCAAGCTCTTGACGACGCCCGTATTAAATATGACGATGTGCAGCAAGCGGTATGTGGCTACGTGTTCGGCGACTCGACTGCAGGCCAGCGAGTACTGTACCAGGTCGGTATGACCGGAATACCAATATACAATGTAAACAACAACTGTTCCACTGGTTCCACGGCTCTCTTCCTCGCCAAACAACTTGTCGAGGGTGGTATGGCCGATGTGGCCTTGGCTGTAGGGTTCGAGAAAATGTTACCAGGCGCGCTTGGCGGTTCTGCGTACCCCGACAGGACCAACCCAATGGATAAACACACACTCAAAATGGCGGAGATGGCTGAGATCACTGCTGCTCCCTTGACACCACAGTACTTTGGTAATGCTGTGATGGAGCATATGAAAAAGTACGGCACTACTGAGTTGCATCTAGCAAAGATTGCTGCTAAGAATCACAGACACGGCGCCAAGAATCCACGAGCTCAGGGAAGGAGGGAGTATACTGTTGAGGAAGTGTTAAACTCTAGAAAGATTTATGGGCCACTTACTAAGTTGGAATGCTGCCCCACAAGTGACGGGGCTGGTGCTGCTGTCCTCATGTCAGAGGAGGCAGTGATCCGATATGGCCTTCAGGAGAAAGCCGTGGAAATTATTGGCATGGAGATGGCAACTGACACACCTGCTGTTTTCCAAGAAAACAGCTTGATGAAGGTTGCAGGTTATGATATGACTGGGCTGGCTGCAAAGAAATTATACAAGAATACTGGTGTTTCACCTATGCAAGTAGATGTTGTTGAGTTGCATGATTGTTTTGCAGCCAATGAGCTGATTACGTATGAGGGTCTACAGCTGTGTGGGGAGGGCCAGGCGGGCAAGTTCATTGATGCTGGAGACAACACATATGGTGGTCGAGTTGTGGTCAACCCCAGTGGTGGGTTGATTGCGAAAGGACATCCTCTAGGAGCCACTGGTCTAGCTCAATGTGCAGAGCTGGTGTGGCAACTGCGAGGAGAGGCTGGAGACAGACAGGTAGGCTGTACAAATCTATATTACATCTATCTAGGGGCTCTTGGACTGTTTGGTGCTCATAGATTTGAATGTGTTTGCATTGTGCATTTTGTATGCAAATCATTGGTGTAAGTTCATTGATGTGGTCTGACATTAGACAGGTAATTGGTATTCATATTATTTTTCCATTTTGTTGTAATGCGTTTTGCTTTGTAACAGAATGTGTCATTGGTATGTACTGTACTGTCAAGTACTCCTTCTGTAAAACTCATCATTAAAACAGTCATTGTATTTCTCTCATTGTAAAAAATCATGGTGATAATTTTTTTTTTCATAACATGAAACTTATAAGTAATTGTTTTTGAATTTTCAGACAAGATTGGACTATTTTTGTTCAATATTCGTCCACATTTATTTTTATTAATACTGAAATTGAGTATGAGATATTATAATAATTGTATTTTGCAACTTTATCATTCTTAACACAAGAATAACTTAAGACTTGTCTCCTGCAAATATTCAGTTAATGCTCACTGCACCAAATAAAAATAGACTGTCTTATCACTGCAAGTTTTGTTTCTCAAATATGCATGATAAATGTTATAATATTCAACATAAATTTAAATTTCAATCTTATAATATCACGGTCCAAAGTCGAAAGTACACTGCTGATTGTACATGTAAAACCTCACAAGATATCACTGTTCAAAATATGTTGTAAATCATACAATTGAGCTACAACATTGATAACATAAGTACAATGACATTTGTGTTATCAAGAACGTAAACTTTACTCTCATTTGCCAGCAGAGCTTGCACATTGTTGTTTGTTCCTTCTTATGAGACAAATAGACGATTGAAATCCCTGGGATGTTATGTTACAAGCACACATTACAAAAAAAAACACATGTGTCCCGGAACATCTGCCCTCAGATGAGAGGTTTTAAGCATTCAAAAGCCCTGATGACTACCTACAGTGCTATAGTCGAAAGGTTTAGGTACTTAACTAAATGTAAACAATCTTGATACATCTTTTTATTGAAACACATGCTTTACAAATCAATAGGTATAAAAACAGGCATGCAATTTCATATGAAGCTAAGTATTTGTATTTTGTATTTGAAGGTAAACGAAAATCATTTTATAAATTGTGGGGGCGGATTATGAGAAAAAAACGCCTGGTTGTAAATTGAGCT